ATTGACCAGGGGCCACTTTGACCAGGGACCACTTTGACCAGGCACACTTTGATCAAGGCCCACTTGACCAAGGCCCACTTGATCAAGGACCACTTTGACCAGCGACAACTTGACCAGGGAGCAGCTTGACCAGGGACCACTAGAACAGGGCCCACTTGACCAGGGACCACTTTGACTAGGGACCACTTGACCAGGGACCACTTGACCAGGGACCACTTTGACCAAGGCTCACTTGACCAGGGACCACTTTGACCAGGGACCATTTCATCAGGGACCACTTTGACCAGGGACCATATTGACCAGGGACCACTTTGACCAGGGACCACTTTGACCAGGGAACACTCTGACCAGGGACCACCATAACAGGGCCCACTTGACCAAGGATCACTTTGACCAGGGACCACTTTGACCAAGGCTCACTTGACCAGGGACCACTTTGACCAGGGACCATTTCATCAGGGACCACTTTGACCAGGGACCACTTTGACCAGGGACCACTTTGACCAGGGACCACTTTGACCAGGGACCACTTTGACCGGGGACCACTTTGACCAGGGACCATTTGACCAGGGACCACTTGACCAGGACCAGGGACCACTTTGACCAGGGACCACTTTGACCAGGGACCACTTGACTAGGGACCACTTTGACCAGGGACCACTTTGACCAGGGACCACTTTGACCAGGGACCACTTTGACCAGAGACCACTTGATCAAGGCCCACTTGATCAGGGAACACTTTGACTAGGGACCTCTTTGACCAGGGACCGCTTTGACCAGGGACCTGACCAGGGACCACTTGACCAGGGACCACTTGACCAGGGACCACTTTGACCAGGGACCACTTTGACCAGGGACCACTTGACCAGGGACCACTTTGACCAGGGACCACTTTGACCAGGGACCACTTTGACCAGAGACCACTTTGACCAGGGACCACTTTGACCAGGGACCACTTTGACCAGGGACCACTTTGACCAGGGAACACTCTGACCAGGGACCACCATAACAGGGCCCACTTGACCAAGGATCACTTTGACCAGGGACCACTTTGACCAAGGCTCACTTGACCAGGGACCACTTTGACCAGGAACCATTTCATCAGGGACCACTTTGACCAGGGACCATATTGACCAAGGCCCACTTGATCAAGGACCACTTTGACCAGCGACAACTTGACCAGGGAGCAGCTTGACCAGGGACCACTTTGACCAGGGACCACTTTGACCAGGGACCACATTGACCAGGGACCACTTTGACCAGGACCACTTTGACCAGGACCACTGACCAGTGACCACTTTGACCAGGGACCACTTTCCGGGACCACTTTGACCAGGGACCACTTTGACCAGGGACCACTTTGACCAGGGACCACTTTATCAGGGACCACTTTGACCAGGAACCACTTTGACCAGAGACCACTTTGACCAGAGACCACTTGACCAGGGACCACTTTGACCAGGGACTACTTGACCAGGGTCCACTTTGACCAAGGTCCACTTGACCAGCGATAACTTGACCAGGGACCACTTTGACCAGGGACCACTTTGACCAGGGAGCACTTGACCAGGGGACCACTTTGACCAGAGACCACCTGTCCAGAGTCCACTTGACCAGGGACCACTTTGACCAGGGCCCACTTGACCAAAGATCACTTAGACCAGGGACCACTTTGACCAGGGACCACTTTGACCAGGGACCACTTGACCAGGGACCACTTGACCAGGGACCACTTTGACCAGGGACCACTTTGACCAGGGACCACATTGACCAGGGGCCACTTTGACCAGGGACCACTTTGACCAGGCACACTTTGATCAAGGCCCACTTGACCAAGGCCCACTTGATCAAGGACCACTTTGACCAGCGACAACTTGACCAGGGAGCAGCTTGACCAGGGACCACTTTGACCAGGGACCACTTTGACCAGGGACCACATTGACCAGGGGCCACTTTGACCAGGGACCACTTTGACCAGGCACACTTTGATCAAGGCCCACTTGACCAAGGCCCACTTGATCAAAGACCACTTTGACCAGCGACAACTTGACCAGGGAGCAGCTTGACCAGGGACCACTAGAACAGGGCCCACTTGACCAGGGACCACTTTGACTAGGGACCACTTGACCAGGGACCACTTGACCAGGGACCACTTTGACCAAGGCTCACTTGACCAGGGACCACTTTGACCAGGGACCATTTCATCAGGGACCACTTTGACCAGGGACCATATTGACCAGGGACCACTTTGACCAGGGACCACTTTGACCAGGGAACACTCTGACCAGGGACCACCATAACAGGGCCCACTTGACCAAGGATCACTTTGACCAGGGGCCACTAGACCAGGGAGCACTTTGACCAAGGCTCACTTGACCAGAAGCCACTTGATCAGGGACCACTTGACCAAGGATCACTTTGACCAGAGACCACTTGATCAGAGACCACTTTGACCAAGGTCCACTTGACCAGGGATCACTTTGACCAGCGACAACTTGACCAGGGAGCAGCTTGACCAGGGACCACTAGAACAGGGCCCACTTGACCAAGGATTACTTAGACCAGAGTCCACTTGATCAGGGACCACTTGACCAAGGACCACTTTGACTAAGGTGCACTTGACCAGGGACCACTTTGACCAGTGACAACTTGACCAGGGAGCAGCTTGTCCAGGGCCTACTTAACCAGGGACCACTTTGACCAGGGGCCACTTGATTAGGGGCCACTTGACTAAGGATCACTTTGACCAGAGACCACTTTGACCAAGGTCCACTTGACCAGGGACCACTTTGACCACAGACCACTTTGACCAAGGTCCACTTGACCAGGGCCCACTTTGACCAGGGACGACTTTGACCAGGGACCACTTTGACCAGGACCACTTTGACCAGGGACCACTTTGACCAGGGACCACTTTGACCAGGGACCACTTCATCAGGGCCCACTAGACCAGGGACCACTTTGACCAGAGACCACTTGATCGGAGACCACTTTGACCAAGGTCCACTTGACCAAGGACCACTTTGACCAGGGACCACTTTGACCAGGGACCACTTTGACTAAGGTCCACTAGATCAGGGCCCACTTGACCAGGGACCACTTTGAGCAGGAACCACTTTGACCAGGGACCACTTTGACCAGAGACCACTTTGACCAGGGACCACTTTGACCACAGACCACTTTGACCAAGGTCCACTTGACCAGGGCCCACTTTGACCAGGGACCACCTTGACCAGGGACCACCTTGACCAAGGACCACTTTGACCAGGGACCACTTTGACCAGGGGCCACTTGACCAGGGCTTACTTGACCAGGGACCACTTTGACCAGGGACCACTTTGACCAGGGACCAATTGATCAGGAACCACTTGACCAAGGTCCACTTGACTAGGGACCATTTTGACCAGGGACCACTTTGAGCAGGGGCCACTTGACCAGGGACCAATTGATCAGGAACCACTTGACCAAGGTCCACTTGACTAGGGACCACTTTGACCAGGGACCACTTTGAGCAGGGGCCACTTGACCAGGGACCACTTTGATCAGGGACCACTTGATCAGGGCTTACTTGTCCAGGGACCACTTTGACCAGGGACCACTTTGACCAGGACCACTTTGACCAGGGACCACTTTGACCAGGGACCACTTGATCAGGGACCACTTTGACCAGGGACCACTTTGACCAGGGACCACTTGACCAGGGAACACTTTGACCAGGGACCACTTTGACCAGGGACCACTTGACCAAGGACCACATTGACCAGGGGCTACTTGACCAGGGACCACTTTGACCAGGGCCCACTTGACCAAGGCCCACTTGATCAGGGTCCACTTGACCAAGGACCACTTTGACCAGGGCCCACTTGATCAGGGCCCACATTCACCAGGGACTACTTTGACCAGGGGCCACTTGATTAGAGGCCACTTGTCTAAGGATCACTTTGAACAGAGACCACTTGATTAGAGACCACTTTGACCAAGGTCCACTTGACCAGGGACCACATTGACCAGTGACAACTTGACCAGGGAGCAGCTTGACCAGGGACCACCATAACAGGGCCCACTTGACCAAGGATCACTTTGACCAGGGGCCACTAGACCAGGGAGCACTTTGACCAAGGCTCACTTGACCAGAGGCCACTTGATCAGGGACCACTTGACCAAGGATCACTTTGACCAGGGGCCATTTTGACCAGGGACCACTTGACCAGGGACCACTTTGACCAGGGACCACTTTGAGCAGGAACCACTTTGACCAGGGACCACTTTGACCAACGTCCATGACCAGAGGCTACTTGACCAGAGACCACTTTGACCAGGGACCACTAGACCAGGGAGCACTTATATATATGCATTATATGTTGTTGTTGTTGTTGTTCCTGCTGCTCCTGCTGCATTGTGTGTTTCTATATAGTCCGTCCACTCTACGGGGACGTGGTACGCAATACGTGGAAGCCAACGCCCAATGCATTAAGTCAACAGTGGAGTATTTAATCCAGGATCGTAATGTAAATACAGACGTTCTTTCAGAGATATGGGTCGCTGCTCCGTGGCAGCCATTGCTCCTGGTTGGCCTGCAGGATGTGGGTGGTGATCGGTCGCTGGCGGACGGCGTAGGAATTGGCCGGCGGCTTTTGGTAGGAAACTTCGTAGACGCTGTTCATGAGCCCGTGCTCTTTGCCCGTCCACTTTTTCACCAGTTGCTCAAACAGCCCGTAGTTGGTTGGCGGCTCTACGAGGAGTCAGGAGAAAATCAAGATAACAATATTAGTAATATTATTGATAGGTTAATACTAATATTATTAATAATAATACATTACCGGCATTGCCAGGGTTCTGTGAAAAGTCAATTTTTGTTGGTACACCAAAATGCATAAGGTTGTGGCTGATAGATAGGTTGCTTACCTGTAACCATAGTTACAGGTAAGCAATAGCATATGTGCGATTCACAGGGACCACAATGGGGAACTACAACTCACATCATGCCAGGTTCAACCCGAGAAACCACTTGACCAGGGACCACTTTGACCAGGGACCACTTTGACCAAGGTCCACTTTGACAAGAGACCATTTTGACCAAGGACCACTTTGACCGGGGACCACTTGATCAGGGAGAACTTTGACCAAGGCCCACTTTGACCAGGGAGCACTTGCCCAGTGACAAATTTGACCAGGGACCACCTTGACCAGGCACACTTTGACCAGGGACCACTTTCACCAAGGTTCACTTGACCAAGGATAACTTTGACCAGAGACCACTTGACCAGGGACCACTTTGACCAGGGACAACTTGACCAGGGAGCAGCTTGACCAGGGACCACTTTGACCAGGGACCACTTTGATCAAGGTCCACTTGACCAAGGATCACTGAGGCCAGGGACCACTAGATCAGGGACCACTTTGACCAGGGACCACCAGAACAGGGCTCACTTGACCAGGGCCCACTTGACCAGGAACCCTTGACCAGAGACCCTGGTAATGACCAGGGACCACTTTGACCATGGTCAACTTGACCAGGGAGCAGCTTGACCAGGGACCACTTTGACCAGGCACCACTTGTCCATGGACCACTAGACCAGGGAACACTTTGACCAAAGCTCACTTTGAGCAGGGAGCACTTTGACCAGGGACAGATTTGACCAGGGACCACTAGAACAGGGCCCATGTGACCAAGGATTACTTAGACCAGGGACCACTAGACCAGGGAGCACTTTGACCAAGGCTCACTTGACCAGAGGCCACTTGACCAGAGACCACTTTTACCAGGGACCACTTTGACCAGGGCCCACTTGACCAAGGACTACTTTGACCAGGGACCACTTTGTCCAGGGGCCACTTGATCAGGGGCCACTTGACCAAAGATTACTTAGACCAGGGACCACTAAACCAGGAGCACTTTGACCAAGGCTCACTTGACCAGAGGCCACTTGATCAGGCACCATTTGACCAGGGACCACTTTGACAAAAGCTCACTTTGACCAAGGTCCACTTTGACCAGGCACCACTTTGACCAGGGGCCACTTGATCAGGGGCCATTTGACCAGGGAGCAGCTTGACCAGGGACCACTAGACCAGGGACCACTTTGACCAAGGAACACTTTGACCAAGGCCCACTTGACCAGGGAACTCTTTGATTAGGAACCACTTGACCATGGACCACTAGACCAGCAGCACTTTGACCACAACTCACTTGATAAGGGACCTTTTCGCCAGGGACCACTTGATCAGGGCCCACTTGACCAGACACACTTTGAGGAGAGACCACCTTGACCAGGGACCAGCTTGACCAGGGACAACATTGACCACGGCTCACTTAATAAGGAACCTCTTGATCAGGGACCACTAGAACAGGATCCACTTGACTAGGGACCTCTTTGACCAGGGACCACTTTGACCAGGGCCCACTTCACCAGGGACCACTTTGACCAGGGGCCACTTGATCAGGGACCACTTGACCAGGGACCACTTTGACCAGGGACCACTTTGACCAGGGACCACTTTGACCAGGGATAACTTGACCAGGGATAACTTGACCAGGGACCACTTTAACCAGGGACAATTTGACCAGGGAGCACCTTGACCAGGGCCCACTTCACCAGGAACCACTTTGACCAAGGCCCACTTGACCAGGGGCCACTTGATCAGAGACCACTTTGACCAGGGACCACTTGACCAGGGACCACTTTGATTAGGAACCACTTGACCATGAACCACTTTGACCAGGGACCACTTTAATCAAGGCCCACTTTGACCAGGGACCACCTTGACCAGGGACCACTTTGACCAGGGACCACCTTGACCAGGAACCACTTGATCAGGGACCACTTTGACCAGGGACCACTTTGACCAGGAACCACTTGATCAGGGACCACTTTGACCAGGGACCACTTTGACCAGGGACCACTTTGACCTGGAACCACCTTGACCAGGAACCACTTGATCAGGGACCACTTTGACCAGGGACCACTTTGACCAGGGACCACCTTGACCAGGAACCACTTGATCAGGGACCACCTTGACCAGGGACCACTTTGACCAGGGACCACTTTGACCAGGGACCACTTTGACCAGGGACCACTTTGACCAGGGACCACTTTGGTTATTTGGGGTGCTGATTCAGAAAATTTCATTGGATAGACCACATCAGCTCTGGTTTCTGATACAGAACATATGCCATCCAGTGGTCACCATCTGCTTGCCCACAGAAGACCATATTTAAGAGGGATCTCGGTGAGGAATTGCGTCCCGACGTACCAAGAAGAGGGAAGTCCGTCTTCTCCGGGACCCACGCCATCTTGTGCCCGTGCCACTTGCGGAGCGGCGGCAGGATGGGATTGTAGCCGCGCCGGTTGTATTGATCGTCGTATTGCGACACCAAATGATGGTGGTTCGGTTCTTCGTGATGGGTCAAGACACACTTCTTTGGGAGACCCTGAAATAGAATAGACTGCAGATTTTGAATACCAGAATGTTTTTGCCATCCGTTACAATTATTATTATTATTATTATATTGTTATTATATTATATTATTATTATATTGTTATTATTGTTATATTATTATTATTATATTATAATTATTATTATTATATTGTTATTATTATTATAATTATTATATTATATTATTATATTATTATTATATTGTTATTATTATTATTATATTATATTATTATTATATTATTATTATTATATTATTATTAGGCTAGTAATTGATGCCAATTTTAGTTCCAGGATTGTCGACATTACACTTGGAACGAGTCTTTTGAGATCATATACAAACACAATGAGAATTATTATTATTATTATTATTATTATTATTATTATTATTATTATTATTATTATTATTTTGTTATTATTATATTATTATTATATTATATTATTATTATTATATTATTATGATTATGTTGTTGTTGTTGTTGTTGTTGTTGTTGTTGTTGTTGTTATTATTATTATTATTATTTGGCCAGTAATTGATGTCAATTTTATTTCCAGGATTGTCGGCATTTCACTTGGAACGAGTCTTTTGAGATCATATAGAAACACTATGAGAATTATTATTATTATTATTATTATTATTATTATTATTATTATTATTATTAT